ATCTCCTTCTCGCCCCTCCTCTTAATAACAGAGTGTCGTTCTGTTAATGTATTTTCTCGGAAGCACTGTAACACAGAGCATGACTTTGCAGATAAAGTTGTAAACTTCTGCTTTACTTTGAAGTTGCTTACTCTAGCAGTAAAAAGCCTTTTGGGCTGAGATCTGAAGATACGGCTTTTGGGTCAAAGTCGAGACTCGCTCTTGGGGTGAATGTAGCGTAATGTTCCTTCTGCAACGGGGAAAAACGATACTGAAATAAAAAGTTGGAAAGCGCGTAGGTTTTTTAGAGGCTGGGAAAATGCATCATGTGCACAAAGAGAAGTAAAGGAGCTTCAGCGATACGTAAGAAGGCTAGTTTCCTGTGTCTTGTCCAGCATGCTTTTATAGGAACAGGGTAACTAGTATTAAGACATTTTCTCTAGGTTATTTCCCAAATAACTTAGACGTGTTGTTATATGTAGAGTGAGTGTGCCAGCCGTGACGTTTCTCCAGAAGCTGGTATAACCTCTGTGCTCCACCTACCAATGGGCACAAGCATTGAAAATCCGGCGGTTGAGTTGTTAACCGTTACACCTGTTATATCTGGGCACAACTGGAATTTGGCTGAAGTCAGGCAAAATTGGGAGCGTATGCTCAGGTTTTTTTAAAAAAAAAAAAAAAACTTGAAAAATCTATATTGAGATATACCAGCAAAGCTTCATGCTCTCGAATCTGCGTTGTTGCTTAAATGTGCTTACATTTTTCAAATAACTGGAATTTGAGCGTATTGTTGTTATTATTGCGAGGTTACTCTAGGCAGCTAGAATTTTCAGCAGAGGAGCCAGAAGTTGCACAGGATACCAAGTCTTTCAGCACTTGTAGCTCAAAGCGTACCTAGTTATTTCAGCATCCTGAACGAAAGAACGGATTGCTTAAATTATTTTTTATGTGCTCGAAAAACTCCAGAAACACACCAGACTGTAAAAAAATGTGAGAGAACTGGACCGTTTTTTCCCGTAGAGTTTCCTGCTGTGAAAACTGAGAAATAATTACATTCAGGTTTGGGTGAAAGTCTAAGATGTTGAGTTTCTTTTGTTTGCATGCTGATGCAGAGGACATGCATAAAAACTTAGGGATTTGGCCTGAGGGTCTAAAACTACTTCAGCGTTGCAGTACTTTTTAGGGCCGTGCCATGCATCTTCTCCACCAGGGACAATGGAGGGTCATTACACCTTGCTGCTGACTTACCAAGTCTTACCCAAAGGTTATTGACCCATATATATTTGTACAGTTGCTGTTGCTGCTGGGCTCTAGCACAGCTGACTCCATATCTAGTATATTGAGGTAGATTAATTCGCCTGAGCGGGCGTTCGTGTTGGCTCATTTCCGAGTGTGTCCAAGGATGAGGGGGGGGGAAAAAAAGTCTCTGGCTTTTCACAGGGGTTTTTAAGGCCACATTATGCTCTCAGTGACAGTGAAAATCCTCTTGACTTTCATTTCACTGGCACCACTGCTTGGGATTTGGAAAGTAATGGTAATGAAGATGCCCTAGGAGGAATTTGTTTGTTATGCTGCATCAGCAGAGCTAAAGAGAATTAAAGCAGTAGATACATCTTACTATTCACTAAGCCGCCAGGTCCACCTCCCACTACACCAGGGCTGGGAAAATCATAATTGCACTGATTGCCTTAACAAGGGGCAAGTGAATTTTAAGCTAATTTTTGCTGAGAAGTACAGTAGGACTGCCTACACAGTTATTAGGCGATGGTTTTTGAAATTTGGTTCTTAGTATTTGTAGTACTACAAATAGGTGGCCGCTGGGAGTAGGGTTTTAAAACACGGCCTTTAGTATTGCGGGTTCAACCGAATGACTTTTAAAATAATTCTCTGGGGAACTGCCCTGTTTTGAAGTGCATTCTCTAAGTGCTACTTTTTGGTCTTCTGTGCCTTTCTGTAATATTTCATTCCCCACACGCTATAAATTTCTTCAACCTAGACATCCAATTTATAAGTTTCAGATGAAATATTACGCTCATTGAACCCTACTGGGCCACAGTCCTTGCAGCGTCAAAGCCAATGGCTTGCAATGTTACGTATTTCTCCTAGTCAGAATCCAGCCTGTTATTTATTCTTCCGTTTTAATGGTGTTTTAGACAAAGGCACTGTCAACAGCAATGAATTCCAGCACAAGTCATGCCCTGAGTTTCTGAGAAAAGGGCATACTCTTCCCGGGTTCTGCTGCGTTTTAACCTTCCAACCTTACAGGATCTTGAAAAATAGCAAAACTCCCAATCAAACCAAACGTCCCTCGTTGGCAGGGAGCAGAAGGATTAAATAAGAATTGGTCAGGACTAGAAAAAAACTTTTGCTTTTGAGAAGCTGATTTGACTTCTGCTTTTGTGAAAATCAACATTCACCGCAATCGTAACGAAAATGTGTCCAAACGTGTCTAGATTTTTCTGTAACGGGCAAAATAATACCTCTCCACAAGGTATTCTTATCTTAGGAGCGAGCGGTATCTTATCTTAGGAGAAGATAAGTGCGCACAAGTTAGGGAGGGAAGTGTTGTACATACTGAAGCTATATGAATCCTTGTGCAAAAGACTGTTCTTAAGACAGTTACGTTGTTTTTTTTTTTTTTGTTTTTTTTTTTTTTTTTTTTTTTTTTTTAAGTCCCTTATACTTTCGTGATGTTGGGGGATTTTTTTTTTTTTTATAGTAGTCTGCATATCTTGGAGTTGCTCTGTCAAGCTTTACCCAGCAGAATTACTGCTATTCAGATGTCGGTGGCAGGGTAGCATCCTACCTGCCAAGTAAGTGCGAGTCCGAGGCAGAGGTGAGTAGAGTTCACCGTTTCGGCAAATAACGGGAACGCTCGTTTGGACAAGGCCGGTCAGTTAGCGATACCCAGGCAACGTGCTGTCTTTATTATTTAGATTACAAAAAGTGCTCTGCGCATATATATTAGCTGCTAGGTTCGGACCGAGTTCTGACAGGCCTAGGTTTTTTTCCAGTTCTTTAGGAAACGCCTCCGTTTTAGGGCCATGCTCGATTTTCACAGGAAGAGCTGAGGAGCTGAGTGGATGAATGTGAATCGGTGGTCTTGAAAAATCACGAGTGCGCGATATGGCTTTGTCAGCATTACTTTGCTTTGGAAATCACACGTTGGGGAAAAAACAAAAAAAAATACCCAGCAAAATGTAATGTCAACAACTGCAAGATATTTTGTTGAAGACGCCAAGCGAGTTCTTGAAGTCATCCATGCTTCTCTTCGTTTTTACGAGATTTGTTTTCCTTAGCGCCCGGTTCCTGTATCCTTAATACCTCAGGCAGCATGTTGCTTCTCTTCCTCTTGCTTTTGCGCTCTATGAGATGTCTTAATATCCTTGCCCCGTAGTGATGGTTGAAACTCTTCTGATGACGCTGTCTACATACCTTTCTGTTTTCCTTCTGGCACCCTCCGTTCTTTCCTGCGTTTGGCTCCCCGACCATCTCTGCTGACATCCCCCGTTGCAGTCTTGATGGGAACGGCAGTTCTCCCTGTTGCATACAGGATTTTAAGTTCATGGAGTTGAGCCGCGATACCTCTGAATCTCTTTCTCCTTGGATACGCAGTGCTGCAGATGCACAGAAGCAGTCAGGACCACTAAAATGGGTGGTTTGTATTTGTAGCGTGCTACAGGAGATGAACAGATTTTGTGGGCGCCATTACAGTAGCAAACCAGACAGAGAAGAAGAAGAAGAATATACTACTTTTTTTTTTTTTTTTTAACTCTGTTAAGTTAATGTCCTTTCTGCAGCTGCTTGTTAGAGTGGCAGAGTGAGTCATGCTTGCAATTTCCCATAATTTCCCTATATCTCAGCGTCAGGTGGGCTTGCTGTCTGTGCAGGAGCTTCTCAGGTGCTCAGTGAGGACCTTCTCTGCCACGCTGCTTCTCCGGTCACGCTGCTGGCATTTTGACTCGGTGTAGGCACGAGTGCTTCTGCTTCTTTGTTTGGAGGGATATTCTGCATGTGCTCATTCCCACTTTGCCTTTTTTAATATTTTAGGAGCGGCATCGCGTTTTAGGACTTCCCCCAGAACCCGTTCTGCATAGAAAACTGCACAGAGTGGCTTTCAGAAGTGCATACTAAAAAGTCTGAAGGCGTTCAGGTTGTCCAACAAAAAGAAAAGTGTGCGCAGGGGTAAAGATAAGAGTCTTGTCAAGTGATCAGGAATTAGTAAACTGGCCTGTAAACGTCATCTTCCTCAACAAATTTTATCTCCCAAGAACTGTAGTATTCTGGTGTGTTGACACGTTGCTCTTCATATACATGGCTGCAGAGCATATTGCTCTGTGCCCTTTGGAAAAAAAGGAGATTGGTTTTGGTTAACTGTCACTACACCCTTCTCTCGGGCAGAGCTGCCTGTAAATTCTCTTAATCTGTCTATCTTCTGCTTGTATAACTTGTGCAATTCATTTTTTTTTTTTCCCCCCTGTGGTCAACCTGTCAGCTCAATATTCCAACTTTCTTAGGGCTGCAAAACTTGCTCGTGCCTTTCGGAGTAGCAGGTGTTCTGGCCCCTGCTATGTTGTACTTCACTGGAGGGCCAGATGAGATGTCCCACTGAAAAGGGTTGAAATTGTTGTTTCTGTGTGTGCGAATTAATTATACGCGCCCTGTGTAAAGGGGAAACTGAGGAGTTTTGAAGTCAGGTGGCTTATGTAAGAGGATGACAGTTTTTATTCATAAAATAGAGCTGGCATTTCCCAAGAGCCATTTAAAACTCAACTGATGTCGTAAATACAAAGAGTTAGACTTACGGACACCGTTTCTGATGACCTCGCCTAACGCTGCCAGGCTTTTCCCTAGAGCTGAGCGTTCAAGAGGTTGTATTAGACTGGAGAGTTTATAAAAAGTGCTCTGAAGGTTACCTTCTAAGCCAGAGGTTTTGTCTATTAGCGTCTACTTCAGACCGTTGTCAGGCTTGATTAGCAGAAATAAGTGACTGTGACTCTCTGGCTCTGTCTCATTTTTAGGATTTTGGAACGCTACGTTCAAGACCAGATTCCTGGTGCAACGGTAGTGGTGGAATCGATCGGCGCGCGGCGGTTCGGGGATGGATACTCTGAGGAGGATTATACCAAGTCTGACCTGATGGTCTATGCCATCGACCCTCAAACAAATCGAGCTATAATGAGGAATGAACTTTTTAAGTAAGCATCTTATTTGTCATTCTTTCTGTACTTCTAACGACTGTTTCGGAGTCTGTCTGTTTCTTTTAGCAAGTGATTCGACACAGCAGCGAAAGATAAATCTATTGAAGCAGCTGACACTTGACGCCTGTGTCTACCCTACGTGCAGTTCGGGTGGTTACTCCTTCGTAGTGTCAATCCTGTCCCTTGAATGGAACGGCCCCAGCACACACGTGGTTCAGACGTCCCTTGGGAAGGGGTTGCAATACATTTGGTGCATGCTGGAGAGAGGCTTCCAGTTCAGGCTGCTCCAAAATAATTTATTTTTGCGTACCAAAATTGCTCTGTGATCAGCTCATGGTAAGGGGAGACAACTGGAGGCTTAGCTTCAAAACCACGCTTCTGCTTCGAACCAGAACGCTTTGTAGACATGATCATTGACTGTTCGCTTCTCAAACATTTGATTATCTTTGCAACCCGCTGTCCCACCTCACTACCTGTTATTAAAGGGGAAAATGTGGGGCTTGCAGGCGAGTCTTGCAGTGCGAAGACAGACCCCCTAATTCTGCGAGTGTATTTAGCTGCTGGAGTACGCTACCTCTGGCCAAGGGCTTTCGCGCTCCAGTCATTGACCTTCAGGCTTTCGCGCTCCAGTCATTGACCTTCAGGCTTTCGCGCTCCAGTCATTGACCTTCAGGCTTTCTGCCGTTTCTGTTTGGGGCTTAAGTCTGCCCTTTTCCTGTGAAAACGAAAGGAAAGGAAAAGAGGGAGGGTGAAGGGGAGCTTAGCTCTCAGTCCGAAGCACAGGCATCGGGCATGGCCGGGGTGTACATCCACACGCAGGACATCAGTAGTGCTCACCGGTCCCACAGTCCAGGCATAACCTCAGTGGGCTGAGGAGAGAAGTATGCATGGGAAATTCCCACCAGCTGTTAGAGATGAGCAGTAGTAGATGGACCCCTTATATTCCCAATGCGACACTGTTTAGTCTTCTCAACCTGCTTCCAAATTAGCAGTTAGATTTCAGTGGCGCATAAAAGACCAAAAGTGGCCTTTTACTGGTTGATCGTGCTCACAGCCCGTTGCCAGTGAATGAGCCCTCGCTGATCACCGCAGCAGAGCGGCTTGACAGGGTACCGCTCTGTTTGGGGTTTTGCATCTCAGCAAAGCTCCGGGAGAGTATCCCACGGACACGCTGCGGCTTCTGGGGCCTGCTAAACTAAAAACAAACTAAACTAAGATAATCTCTTTACACGTTTTTTTTTTTTCCTGAGTCTTCAGTAGTGGAGAGCAGGTTCTGAGACAAAATTAGGATCTCAACCCATCCGACTATCAGTTTATCAACACAGTTGTAGAGTCACTTGGTCAGAAAGTCTTTTGAGGTTCTGCGTGTGCATCAAAAGAGAGAAAATACTGAACAAACTCTTCTTCTAAAGCAGTCGTTATCTCTTGGTTTTCTGCATGTCTCTCTCTCCTTTGTGGTTGTGTTTTATCTTGACGAAAGCCAGACCAAACAGTTCAGCGATGGCCTGAAGCAGCGTGTTGATCAGCAGCCTAAAAGCAAATGGCTGTGAGCCACCCCAGTGGACTGTGACTGAAAAGGGGCTTCTTCTCTAGTGCTCTCAATTTAGCACAGATGAATTAGAGCATAGTAGAGCTCTGCATGTATTCAGAGTTGTTCATAGGTTGGAAAAGATCACTGTGATCAGTCTGCCCTGGTCTAACAAAGACCATAGGGATTCCCAGAATTAATTCTGCTTTGAGCATGTCTTTCAGCAAAAATAGCTGGTCAAGAAAATCCAATAACAGACAAGCAACTACAACCTTTGTGTAGTTATTCCAGTGGTAATTTGTTCTTTCTGTTGAAAATTAGCCTTATTTTCTTTCTTCAGTTTGTCCAGACGCCGTCAATGAGTCGTACTGTAACGTTGGGTGCAAAATTCAAGGCATTCACTTGGTGCCTTGAATTTCTGGTTCCCGTCAAAGCCTAGACTTACGCTCAAATCATCCTCTTAAATTTTTTCTTGAGAACTGCCCTGAGCTCTTCACTCCAAGATACGTTATTTAAAGTAAGTCTTTAAATCACTTATGGTTTCCTCTGAACCTTCTCTGGGTTTTTGGTAGCTATTTGTTATTTTTCCACTTCTGCAGTTTGTAAATTCATGCAAGATTGCATTTTCTTCCAGTCATAGATAGATGCCAAGAGTACAGCCAAGGTGGGATCCTGTTTAGACCTCGTTCACCATTTGCAGCTCCTAGCAGTGAGCTAGCTCTGTTGTTCCAGCAGCGTTGCTCGAGGAGCAGAAATCCAAGACAAGTAGTCTTGTGGGTGCACTCAGCAACTCTGTAGTATGTGCCGAGCTCATCTACCCGGGAGAGAGGAGGCTTGCAGCAGCTGTGCATGGAGCGCAGGTGGGGTACGAGGCACCCTGGATGTGCCACGCTGACTCCGTGAGCACCGTGTGGAAAACGTATGTGTGTTTTGCCCTGAGATAATGCAGGCCAAGGCAGGGACGCCTTAAATAACACTAAATTCTTCGGCTCTGCTCGCCTTGCTTTTTTCGTCTACTGTGATTGGTCTTGAACCTGCTAGTGCTCTCAAGATCAAAAGGACATTATCGGGCAGCGTGTACAGCTTCAGGAAACTTAAGTGGCCATAATAACAGCTGAAAATCCTGGCACCCGTTTGCTCCTTACTTTGGAAAGCAAATCTAGTACCTTTAGTACCTTAAAATGAACTAGTATCTCCACATGGGGGCAATCAGCTCTTTTAGGGCCATAACAGGGATCTTTTTGCGATGCAAACTCCCTTCGTGGACAGAAAATGAGGCCCGCCTTCATAGCGGGGCCTTTTGAAAATACAGAAATGTCTTTTTAGGGCGGTCTGTAAAATACACAGAAAAGAATAGAGCTAGGTTTAAAAGCAGGGGGTTTTTGGTTTTTTGGTTTTTTTCAGGTGTGAAGGGAAGGTCATTCATTTTCCCGATCTGAAAAAGTACAGGGTAATATTAGCTTAGAAGCAAGCTCATGAGAATGCTTCGTGTGCCTGCCTGCTCAGCTCTTTTTTTTTTTTTCTCTTTCCTTCTTCAAAAGCTTTTAAATATTTAAATCAGCAAAATCCTGGGGAATGCTTTCCTGGCTTTGGGGTAGAGGTGAGTAAGTGTCAGCTTAAGAGGGGAGAAATGGAGTGAGAGTTTTGTAGCTTGAAATCTGAAGTGAACAAGTTTTAGCTAGCAAGCAGGTGACCCTCAAGAGATTTAGCTCAGCTCAGGGGCTTACCCCAGTCTTAAAAAAAAAAAAAAGAAATTCCTTCTGCACTCTTCTTCCCTGGAGTTTTAATCTTCAGAGGACTGGCTCGATCTTCTTGCTGCCCAGGTCACTAGAGACAATAGTAATGGTTGTCGTCGCACTGGGAGGAGTTGCCCAGGAGTCACGACCGTCCTTCTGGTGGCCAAGAACCTGCTCAGGATCCTAGCAGGAAAGAGATTAATAGCAGAGAGATTCGTGTAATGAACTGGATATGATGCGGAAGAGGAGGGCAAGTCAGGAAGTCAGAGACGGAGCCCACGATTTATAAAACTTCAATCAGCAATAAGGAACAGAAATGGATTTAACCAAAGTATTTTCCAAGCGTTCATAAAGTTGGCAATGTGTGCGGAGGGCGGAGCCGAGCCGTATGAACAGCTCAGGTTTAGTCTACGAGCTCAGCCTGATGCAGTTTTAACACACCTTACAAACTAGTTGTATATGGGGAAGATAACAAGCTTTTCTTGAGTATCCTGCTGTGTTTCTGCCTATGGAGCATAGTGGAGGCCCTGGCTTGAACGCAGAGTTTACGCGTTTACCTGTCACCTTTCGGAAGCATTCTCTGGGCAGATCTTTTAAGGAATGTGGGGTGAAATTGAGGACGGCACGTAGGAGAGCTGCACGTTCCCCTTCACCCGTGAGCGCAGCCGGGAGAAAGGGAAGTATCACTGGTGGCTCGTCACAGTCAGTGCTGGCCGCCAGGCCCAGGCACAAGCTAAAGCAGCCCTGGGGTCCCAAAGCTGCTTAGCTTCAACCCAAGTTGGCTTAGATGGGACAGCCAGGACAGGTAACGCCCATCAGCATCCAAGCAAAGTCATGCTCAGGTCCACCCGTGAGGCTGCATTTCTGTATTTCTAGAAGTAAACCCCATTAAACCAAACTGGTGTCCGAATTCTTGCCGTAGCTAATGTTTGAAGCTCTGATAATCAATCGCCTCTGGGAAATCTCAGGCAGAAGCTGGATGCGATTTTGGCGAATCCAGTATGTCAGGTCATGTCCTACAGTAGTTTATTAAGAGATGGAAGGAAATACGATGTGCTCTGGATGGGCTGGACTTGATGCAGTTGTGCAGAACGACAGCACGTGCACAGGACTCACCACCGGTGTCTCCTGAATGGGCTGCCTGATGTCCAAAACGCCCCCAAAATGGCCTAATTCCCCGTTGGAGCGGAAAACACGGTTTCTTATTTGGAAATCACGGGCATAGAGCAGCCCTAATTGTGTTCTTCACGGCCAGTTGAGGAAAACGCAAGTATCTCTTAAGAGATGCTGGTTTTTACCTATCTTGTTCTCTGTAAGACTGAGAGGCAGTCAGAGATTCGTACTTTCCTTTAGGGCGTTTATGACCGATCAGATGACATCTTTATTAACCAGGGATCTGTCCGGTTACTCCAACAAACGTGTCTGAATAACAACTGTGCTTAGTCGGTTCCTCCGCCTAGTCCGAGCTCTTGGAAGATCAGCCTTCTTTTTTTAATCTTGTATGTGAAAGAGGGTTTGGTTTATTGGAGCATAAAAAACAGTTGCATCCAGAAAATTTCTCTTGCGTATATTAAGTGGAAAACATCCTCCATTTTAAAAAAAAGAAAAAAAAGCTTACTCCCTCCGAGGCTCTTGCGCAACGTGACGTGTTTCATCATGGAGAAAATGTGCGTAGTTGAGTTATGAACCTGTTAAAATAGGCTTTGTCAAGAAAACGCTAGCAGAGTTTTAACTGTGTGTTAAAATCTTGCGGAGGTTTAATGCTGTCCTAGCTGAATGCTCTCTTACGCCAGCTCAAAGGACATCCTACACGCACCAGTGACATCTAGTGTACAACAAAAAGATTAGAGTTTCATTTATACTCTGCTTCCATGTTGCAAGCCGTCATTGCAGGTCTTTAAGTTGTGGAAAGGGATTTTTGCTCAATTACCCAGAAAATGTTTTGTGGAAGAAGTCAAAGTCTTAGTTGTGAATTTTAGTAGAGCATAGCAATGCGGAAGAGAAAATATTCCTCAAATTGCCTTGGGTTGCTTTTTGTGATATTGTAGGTCTCTAAGTGATTGGCCACTGTTCCTCTTTGGACTTAATAGCACAGAAGCAGTGCTCCACGTTTTGTCAGTCGGAATGAGTTGCATGTTATGTGATCCCAGCTGGTATGTTATACACGAAGATCAGACCCCAAAGTCACGAAAACAGGGTGAAATGAATGCTGTGAGGGTTTGTCAGTAAATTAATTAGTTTGAGAGGAAATTAATTGTAAGAAATTAGCACCCTTCAAGCAGTAGTCTTCTAGGAGCATGATTTCTCATCACATGATCCTTCTGATGAATTGACAGGTATTTCAGACTTTCTCTTTTTTTCAGATTTTTCTTGTTGTTGTTGTTATATTTTTTTCCTCGTTATTTTTCACACTAGAACTTGTGTCTTCAGGAAGAACCACTGTGCGTCTGTGAGGCGATCGTCTGCTATAGCAGAGAACCAACGGGACCCTTCTCCGTCCCGACGGGTGCTCTTGACAGCTAGAGCCTATTACTTGGCAGCACTTTTTACCAAAGAGTAGTCTACTAGGCAATTTTCGGTCACTTGGATTGTATGGGGAAATAGGAGAATTTAGTTTAGGGGTTTTTTTTTAGGGAATGTTTCATTCCTTTGCTTGGTGAGGATGTTGTTCAAGTCCTAATCTTCCGTGATGCAGGTGATCTGCAGTTAAACGGGGGACGGACGTTGCTGTAGGTTGCAAGCAGTGACAGCAGAATATGTTTTCTGATCAGTTTATACCCTAGGTCTGATGTAGGAGTCAATTCTGTCTTGACAGCGTGCCCTGGGGGCCTGCTTAATACCACTATTTCTATGCTAACAATACAGATATCCTATTTGTCGGAAATGTACTTATTAATACTAGGGAAGATTGTTTTGGTGTCTGGCAGTGTTTGGATAACCTGTGAAGTTTAAATTGCAGTTTATTATAAGCAGTTCTCCTTTTAGAAGAGGAGTGAAACTCCAGAAGAAATGACCTGCATCTTCTAGAAAGAAGACAAGAAGATGCAGTTGACAGTAGCGTCAGTCTGTCATCTTTTGTAGCCACCAACTTGGCTTTAAGGAGAGGCGTACAGAAATCTTTTCATAGCATTTTTTTAAAAATTTTGTTCTTTTCCTTGCTCCCATCCTTTTGCATCTCTCAGGAATCCTGCTGCAGGTTCCCGAAGAAGCTGAGAAAAATCCTCAAAGAGTGACTCCTTTTGAGGATGGCATCGAGGAATGTGGGCAGGAGGGTTCGTTAATCCTCCATAGCAGAGCAGCGAAGGCAAAAGCAGGACGAAAGCCAGCCTGCCACGCTGCTCTTCCTTCGGTGCTCCGCATGGAGGTGGACTCGCCTACCCACAGCGCAACGTTGTCCACGGCGTGAAGAACTTTTTGCTCCCAGAAATGAGAGTAAACTTGAGTTCACCTCTCCTTTTTAGTGGTTAAGTGCTAATATTAAATACGTTGGAGTTATCTTGGACATGGGGAACGTGAGGGATTACTAATGTTCTAAAGCACGTAACGAAGAGGTACGTGCTTTATCGGAGCGTAGTTCCTAACCCAACTGTACAGAGTTAATGGACTTGGCTGTAATAGTTTTCTTCTGCAATGTTGAAGGTTCCTGGATGGCAAGCTGCTGGATATCAACAAAGAGTTTCAGCCGTATCTGGGCCAAGGGGGACGCATCCTGGAGATCCGCACCCCGGACGTGGTAGCGAATGTCAAGAAGCAGGCACAAGCCGTAGGCTACACGGAAGGTGCATTACTTGCTCTGGCTGTCATAATCATCCTTTGCTGTATGCCAGCTATTTTAATAGTTATGGTCAGCTACAGACAGTAAGTACTCCTACTCCTTTTCGGGATAGCAACACCGCTGTAGAGATGGTTACATTGGAAAGTTTTCTTGTGTTGGCGGTTTATATGCAGGAAAATATTTTTAACGTCCGTCTCGTCGTCGTATGTAGTCGCTACTGAGTGGGGGCTGTGCTCGTGGATAGAAAATACACAGGAGGTGTATCTTTTTGCGTTTTCTGAATTTATGGGGCAGTAACAGTTCTGGGTTACGTGCTAAAATGCAAGCTCAGAAGCAAGGGGTTTGAAATGCAAGTGTAGATTCAGATATGAATTCCAGGCCAAACAAAAAAAAAAAAAAAAAGGTTGCTGGTTCAGTAGAAGAATCAAAAATCACATTAAGTCACTCAGACAAAGTAAGAGGACTCAACTTTTTTTCTTGAAATTCTGAAATACTCACGGTTATGTTTTGCCCTATCTGTACGCTTCTTAATTCTAAGAATTTCATAAAGAATTGATTTTAGCCGTTTAGCCTTTTTAGGTCTGGCAAGGATACCCAGATCAAGCAGAAAGAACCTGCTTGATATTCCCAGTCACCTTTCATAGACTCAGGAGGTTTAAGTAATGGTGCTAATAGGCTAATTGAAGGATCAGCATCACTAAGAAGTTCCTCTGAACGAAGCCATTTCAGGGTCACTCATAACAGCTACGCGCTTGAACTTCAAGACTGTACCTTTATCATTTAATTTCCTGCCAGGAAAGACTTCACGTGCGTACTCGTGTGCGTACCCTGAGCACTGTAAGACTTATAAATCGTTACAAAACCAAAACATAAATTATTCTGTGCATCTTCCCCACTAAACAACTGTAAACAGATTACCAGCTTCTGCACACGTCGGTCTGCATCGCAGTACCCTTCTGTCTCCGTTTTAAAATAGGCGAACTAGCTAGGCTGTAATATGCCCTCGGCATGGAAAATCTTGTTCCGTAGGACCACGTAGGAAGGAGTTCCTAGAGCCCTGGTGGCCTTTTTTTTTTTTTTTTTTTTTTTTTAAATTAAAAGTGCTTTGGCATCTCCTCCCTTCATTACGTTGAGGGCAATAAAGTGTCAGCGCCTCCCCAGATCCCTGCTGCAGGGTTGCGTCAGTCTGCAGGGGGAGATGGTACGGCTGAGATGCACGTGTTACAATAGAGCGCTTCCAAGCTGAAGACCGCAGTAGGCGTAAAATGGTGGATATTCCAGGTGAGATTTAAACCGTGTCCGCAGCATTTCCCCTGCCTGCACCACATTCAGGTGCGAGTAGAGTCCTATGGTACTCATCACTTAAAAGGCACAGTAGTCCATGGAGAAACAGCAGCTTGTCCAAGAGCGCTCTACTTAGCGACGTGAGAACACATCTCCGAATACAGCTGTTTTTCAGTGGCTAACGCGCATGTCAGTGGATTGTATTTACATTCCCATTTTTTCCAGACAATTAGCACCAAAGGAAAAAGCCCTTTAGGGAAGTCTGAAAGAGCCTGCCAAGCTTCTGTAAGAGAGATCTGTACGCTGGCGTATCTGTCGCCGGAAGGTGTGACCCTTCGCCGAGCGGTCCGCCGGGATGGCAGCCCCAAAACTTCAGTGAAAGAGGCCTTTTAGGAGAGGAGGGAGGGAGAAGTAGGTGCTAAATCGGTCCAATATAGCAGCCCAATATATTGCTAGGGTTCCTTGCGTTGCCCCCGACGCTCATTGAATGTCCCAACATTGTTTGTAAAACGTGCTTCCAGTGAAACTCAGGTTCAATGTACAGTTAGTTTGTGTTGCTGTTGTTATCACCGGAGTTGCATAAGAGAGCAAATAGCAACATGTTTCCTTCACCTCTGTTGGTGCCCCGTTAGATTAAAAAAAATCATTGATCTCTTTTAAGAGTTTTCAGGGATCTACCTAGCTTTATTAGGTCAAAAATCAACGTTGTTGTTGACTACAAGTACTGCTTGGAGTTGGATTTAGAGCAGACCAATGTGAATAAAGTACGCTTTTGTGGGGGGAAAAAAAGCGTCGGCGAAAAGGACCAGAGAACGTAAAAGGCGTTTCGGCATTAATAAACACCAAAAGCTGTCGCGAGCCTTCTGGAAAATGGATCTGTTTCTGCATTACAGTCTTGTGCTCCTTTTGAAAAGGAGCTTCGGTCTTTCTCCTGATACCAGTCCTGACGAACTAGGTGCTCGCCCCTGCGTGTAGAGATCATAGCGGCATAAATGTAATTGTCGCTCTCGGGGTGCGCTTAGGATGGAATGGATTTTCTCCCCATTAAAGCTTTTTATGTGGAGTCGGTACGCTTTTCACTGCTTTCCAGACCAGTGATCAGGTTAAGATCCAGTGAATTAATTTTGCTTATTACTTTTTGTAAAAACGGTAGTTAAATCGAATGATTTTTCTTTGCAGTATAAAATTATCACTGTCAAAGTGCTGCTCAGAGCCTACATTTATGGCTTGTAAACAAGTCAGAAACGTTCATTATTCTTTTCCGCTAAATAGTGTCTTTGAAATACGCTATCCAGCACAGCCCCAGAAGCTGAGTATAAATAATTTATTATTTGTTCCTCACAGAAAACTGGCATCTTCTAAATAGCAACCAAAAATAATTCACCTTCACTGTGAAAGGCATTTTCTATCGCGTTCCGCAGGTGTGTTAAAATGAGAAAATAGTTAGGCAGATACGCCCCTAATATCTGATAAATGTTGCTGGGTATATTCACATTTTCATGTCTTACTCTGTCGCGGGGCGGGGGGCACGGTGAGGTTTTCTGCAAGCCTAAAGCTTGCAGAAAGCGGTTTCCCCGCTGTCATTCACGTTGACGTTGACTGCAAAAGTGGTTGGAGAGTATCGCAGGCAGCAGCTGAATAGCGTTGCGGGTCCTGGAAGTTACGGTTCTTTAAGCATGCCCTTAATCCTGCAGTTTTATGTGCGGAATAACTCGGCAGCCTCTAGTTTATTACTGCTGTTAGGTTCAGTGCTCAGGACTGTTGTTGCAAATAGAACGCGTTTAACCTTCCTTTTTTTTTTATCTCTTTGTCTTTTTTTGCTTGACAAAACAGATTCAAAGAGTAAGTATTGACTTCCAGCTTTTTTTGTGACGGCTTGCCTAGGAGCACTGGCAGCTGATCAGCCTTTCTTTCTAAGAAGAAAGGGTACTTAAAATTCAGTAATAAGTGATTTCCTGTGCTCCAGCTTGTTCCCATCCCGTTGCATGGCTCAGTTTTTAAAAGTCACTTTTATGACTGCTTTGTGCATTGCGTTGTTGTATGCTAAGACGCGAGAAAGATCTCGGGATGTAGCCTCTTTCCTGCAGAGGAAAAAAAAGAAATGTTTTAGTGCATATGGTATGCCTCGATCAACCAAGTGCACCTCAGGCTGAGGGCGCAGGGGCTTCCCTAGGGGAAGGGTCGGGTGTCAACCACGGTCACGAAAGAAATGAGATGGACAGATCTGTCGTGTCAGCTCGGTTTTGTTTTCTAGCTAGGAAATAGAAATTTCTTTGCAAGAGTGAATTTACACGTGGGAGGAGGGGGAAGATCCTTAAAAAGAGAAAAGCTCTTCCCATTGGAAAATTGTTCTTTGAGGCGGAAGTTTTCCAGGGAGCTCTAATGTGAAAGGAGGAGCTACGATAAATGAGACTGCGCGACTTTGGATGCCATCCTGTGCAACGTGCTCTAGAGGAGCCTGCTTGCGCGGGGTGGGGGTTGGACCAGATGATCTCCAGAGGTCTCTTCCAACCTCAGCCGTTCTGTGATTTGCCAGAGAGCTTCTTGGGGTTTTAAATTCCAGGTGATGGTGAAGGCTCTTGGCATGTGAACGAAGCACTTGGGCAAAGCAGCTTACTCTTTCCGCTCTTACCCTGGGGAAGCCCCTGCTGATAGAGTCCAAATCAGCGCAACGTGGTTGCCAGCCCATACATTTTTCTTGGGAATTGCAGCACGTGGCGGTGACACACCACCGGTCCGGTGGCTGCTGCCCAGCGTAGAGTGCTGGGAGTCCGCAAAGAAAGAGCAAATAACAGAGTGCTGAAAAGCCAGGGAAAAAAAATCCCAACGTTGCGTCGCGTCGCGGCTTATGTTGGACACGGCCTGTCTCTAACGTGTGTTTCTCCTTGCCCCGCGGCTTACCGAAGGCGGCAGGCTGAATGCGCCAAGACGGCGCGGATCCAGATGGCCTTGCCAGCAGGCAAGCCGGCGAGTGCTGCTGCCAACAACCTCTACGAAGAGCTTGGCGACAGCACCATGTAAGTACCCCTCCGGATACTCGAGCAAAATTGTTCGTGGCCGAGGCCACAGTTCGCTTTCCGGGGATGTATCGCTCCATCCAGTCCAAGTCAGAAAGGCTTTTTCGTCACGAACAGGGGGTTTTAAGGTGGCCAGAATTTCTCCATGGCGTGACCAGGATGTGGTGGTTATGCTCTACTCCGATGTTCTTCATAGAGCAACAGCCAACAGCAGGCCACTGCTGCCGGGAGGAGCTAGTGCCTTTGAACATCCGGCACGGCATGCCACGTTCTTCAAAGCTGCTGGCAAAAAACACGTTGCTGCTCCAAAACCCCCCATTTTGCTGTAGTTTGAAATGTTCTGTGGGGTAAAGCGTTTTTTTTGGTGGTGGTGGTTTGAAATTTGAAACCACTTGAATGTTGAAATTGAACATAAAGGCACGATAAAAATAAAAAAAAACACCGGTAGTTCAGTGAATACATCTTTTACCTATTATATGCTCATAAAACACTAACGTTGCAAAGATGCCTACCATTTCATGCCTGTGTAAATCTGAAGTGTATGGACTCCAGCAACAATTTGATTCTCAGTATGAAAATATTACAGTGGGAGAATCATCAATTAATTTCTACCATACTGGGGTTTTTTTGCTTATAAGCTTGCCACGCTTGCTCATCTGTGTTTGTTTTAAAACCAAGCCACGCTAAGGAGCCAACCATTCATAAGACGTTTGGAGATTGGGGGGGAAGAGAGAGAGAGAGAGAGAGAGCTGGTGGTGGTGTTGAGGATTGCCTGACTTTGCTCTGTTGACGATCATTATTTGTTTTGCTCGGGGAGCTGAGGGTTTGTGGGGTGCTGTGATACGAGGTTACAGAATGTGAAGGAGGCATGGCAAAGCCCATCCCTGCCGCTTTCAGTCTTAGCCGTCTGAACGCAGTCGCTGCGTTGCACTCGTTTGGCTTGAGCTTTCCTACGTAGAGGAGCTCTGCGTTCATCGCTGAAGCGGGAATAGCTTCCAACTACTCATCCTCCTCCCGTGCCTTTTGCTCAGGTGGGAAGCGAGGAGAACAGTGTATTTCACAGGAACGCGTAGCAGCGTTTTCGGATGTGAGCGCTTCTGGTTGGGAACCGCATGGGATCACGCTGGTACACTTACAAGGACAGTGGAATGCCTTGTTGGATGAAGTCCGTGTTTCTCTTGCATTGGACTATATTCCTATTGACGTTAATGAATGACCTCTGATTTCATTAGAGGTTATATAAAGCTGATTTTCGGTGGGAATCAGATGGTCCTGTTGGATGAATCTGTATTCTGTAGTCTAGCGACTGTGTTCTCCTAAACCCAGAGCAAGCCTCGTTGTGCTGGGTTTGTATCTAGAAGGGTTTTTAATTGTCGTCGTCGCGTTACTGCTGCAAGCTGTAGGTGCAAATTTACATATTTGCAGTATTGACTTTGAAGAATGGATGCTTAGATGTGTGACCGTTTTGACTGGAAATACGGTTTTCATCCACCAAAAAAGATGCCATGCTTGGAATATGTTCTCCCAGATGTCGTTGCATACGGTTGTTAGCCATCACTGATCAAACGTCTATCAGTAAAAATCTTTTAAAAAGAAATGACTATCCTTTAGGATTTCAATGAAAAACAGTAGGCTACATTAAAAATAAATTTGAATTATCAAAGTTTTCCTGACAATTATTTGAGTTTAAGGCGTTAGTGTACCTGACAAAATTATTCTTTGGGAAATGCCTTTTTAACAGCATGAATTTTAGTGGACTGTTACCTATCTTGAGCTGTCCTAAGACAGGCATCGTTCATTTGCAGTGCTACCTTGTTTCTTGTTTTCTGAATTTGGTGTTTGTAGCAAATGAAATGGAATGAAGCTCCTTTGTTTTAAATCTGCCTTGTCTCATAATTTTTGTTTTTCTCTGTCTTTGGATACATAGGCATCAGTAAGTAAGCTCATTTCATTGTCTTAATATTTGTAGCTAATAGAAACGCTAGTTAATTTTCCTTTCCTTACATTCCATTAAACCTTGCCACCTGAAACTCATCTTTTATTTCTCCATTGAGCCAGTCCAGGAAAGACATTTACTGTGAAGTTTCAATATCTGTAGGCCTCTTTTCCCTCCTGCAGAAAGGAGAGAGGCAGTATGATGGCTGAACTTGAATGGTATTATTTCTAAGGCCCGGTAGGCCCAACACTTAGAAGGCAACTCCAGGGGTATGTGCAAACGCAGAGGTTTGCTTTCCGTTCGTTGAAGTAAGATTTTTGCAACTGGGTGCGAGCAAAATCCTTCCTGTCTGCTCTTTATAATTCCTCGTAAGGCAGGAAGCACTCTTTCGATTTGCGGAGCTAAGGCTTCAAACTGATGAGCGATTGTTTCTCCTTGGTTAAAACCCTTCTACAGAAACAGCAAAGGAGACGACCTTAGGAGAACTTCATCCTTGAGAGGCCTCGCATGAAGCGAGGAAGTAACTAAGACGCTTTTGAAATAATCCGCTCCAGTAGCACAAAGGTTGTGTCATCTTGCATGAGCTTTCTGCTGGAGGGTTTCCTTCAAGTTCAGAATCATGTATTTCTCTCATCTCTAAATACGATCCCTTCACCGCCTGAGGAAGCTTGACCAATCTCAAAGGATGCCGCTTTGGAATAAAGAACTCCTGTTTAGTATTTAGGTACCTAAGTGTCTTTTCCACTCAACGCTAGGGAGTGTTCAACCACCACAGGTTAAGTTTTCAATAATTTACATTTAGTTTAGTCGTATTTCCAGAGATACGATGGAGAAAAGGGGTGGGGAACAAAATCTGAATAATGGAACAATGTGGCCAGGAGGCCTGGAGCTGCATTCAGCCCACGCTCGTGCTGTAGCTGAAAACACTGCATTTTTTTCCCCTAATCCTTCTGTTAATAATGACTTGTTCCTTTTTATTTTTTCCCCCTTCTTCTAAATTTGAAAGAATATGCATTAAAATTGTGGTAAAGCTAAGACCTAGGATTTTTAACTCAAATCATTGAGAAACTGCTGGACCACTGTGAGGTGCTGAAAATACGTTTAGTGGCATTTTGAGGTTTTTTGGGGGGTAGATGTCCTTACTACTCATCCTGTTCGTTAACTGCAGTTGCTTAACTGTAGAAGAGAGATACGCAGGTTTTAAGTGTTGCATCCAAAATGTGGGATGCCAGCATTAATTACAGGTAGGGAATAGGTTTAAGTGAATAGTACAAAAATGTTAATGCAATCTTTATACCCCACTGTGCTATCAGGTCCCCTTAAACTGTCATATTCTTCCCGTGGTCTGCCTTAGAGATGTATTTAAAATGTTGCAGACTGCTTTTAGCATGGGCGTCCTTTTTTTAAGACTTTTTTTCTGAGTCCCTGTACAACACAGCACGTGTTTAGTTATAATAAATCTGCATAGAGCAGTGATGGAAATAATGTTTTGAATCAGTCTCACTGAGGAAGAAGGGGATTTATCTTTTTGCAGGGATAAGGGGCTTGTTTTCAGGTGCCGCCAGAATTGCATCTTAAACTTGTCCCAGATGGGGATAGTAACTTTATTTTCACCCCCCGGTGGGCATTATTTAGAGTAAGGGTCGAGGGCACACTTTTCTAGCAGGCGGTTCCGAGGTGTCGATTTTAAAATAGTGTTTGTATTAAAATCTGCTCAGAAGTTTGTGGTATTAAAAGCATAGGAGGGAAGACAGGCTAACGAGGCATTCAGAGGTGCTAGGGAAATTCCAGATCGCAGTGGCACATCCTGCTTTTTGGATCGAATTTCAGTAGAATGTAGCTGCGTGGGTTTACTGTTTGGAGTAACGCAGTGCACAGGTGGAATTCATGCCTGTATTGATACTTGCATGTTTTGCATGAACACAAGTATCGTACTGTGTAAGAAACAATGCCTTGCTTGGCAGTGCTTTCAAAATCAGTCTTAGGAGAATGCCGCTGCCCGGGTGTGCCTGGTGACGCCTCGGACTTCTCCTGGGGCTGTGATTTCTGGCTCGATGTCTGCTCGAACAGGAGTTTTGATTTTTGCGAGTGACCTAGAGCCGGACCTTAAAAGGCAGTGCAGACACACTTCAAGGTTGCATAACGATGCATAATTATTATAAGATACAAGAGATTCCTTAAGTTAAAAATCCTTGTGGATGTGCTGTGTTGGCTGCGTGCAGTATTCTGTAGTGCCACTGCTGTTGGAATGACGGACGTGTAGTTGTTTTTCCACGTTAGCTCACAGAAGGACTGTGTAGCGTAACTAGGACACTGGAGAAACTTAAGATACGATACTCCTGAAATGTAAGGTTTGCCTTTAAGGAGAGAGGAACCATTTTCACGCTTTCTGAGTCGCTGAAAACCTGTTTTAACTCTCCTCCTCCTCCTGCCCCTGTCCTTCTCTCCTAAAGAAGCGAAGAAAGTAAATGTCTTGCCCAGTAGTCTAGTAAATGTGGTCTTTCTGTTGGCTAGTAGTAGTTTGCTAGAAGTGATGTCATGGCGCTGATTCATATCATAAGTTCTTCTTTTTTTCTCTCTCATAAAAAATCTATGTCCATGCATGTCTCCTTACGTGTGGTTATCTTCTTTTCTTTCAAGTCTTTTTCTTCTCTACCATTTCCAACAAAGCAGGGGAAAAAAGTCAGTCTTAGAAGAAGGAGACCGTCAGAGAGTTATAAGCAGCTTTGCTTCCCGCGCTATTGAAGCTCACAAGCAATCTAATATCAATGGATCACTGAACAATAATCTCCCCAAATCTTCAAGTAACATTACTTTTTTGTCTGATGAGAACCCGTTAACTACTCAAAACCCATTGTATGTTGAAGGTGTCGTTCCAAGTCCCGCTGCTGCTGGGTTGCTGCGGAAAAGAAGCGAGATTCTAGATACTCTCTCTCCTAGAAGATTAGTCTTGAAAGATGCCTCTTTGGGAGGCAGTCACCGTGCATGGACGTTGCCGACTCACGTTAATCAGACGCACGTGACTGGTTCCCTAAGCAGGCCGGTTATTATGGATCCCGTTCAGTGGCAGCAGGAAAGGCTCCAAGCAGAGAATGAAGGAACTGCAAGTCAGCCTAGCAGGGCTGACATGAGCAGCCCGGTTTTCCAAAATATAATTGGCCCCACCTTAACGGTAAAGGAGAAGGCAAGACAGTTTGAGCAGCAGGCTTTGCAGGAAATGAAGCAAGTGAAATCGCCTGATGCAAAAGCTCTCCGGTCACCAGCCCACGGCAGCTGCTACCAAGGAGGAGAGAACGTGCTAGAGCAGTCGCCTAAAAGTGTGCTTGCTTCTCCTTGCCTTCGCTCTCCTCTGGCCTCTCCAGCGCCTTGCACTGCAGTAGTTGAGCCGGAGCCTTCCACGGTCCCCTCTGTGATCATCACTCTCCACGACTGTCCTGAAGACCTTTCTCCTCCACCGGCTCACAAACCAACTCCTCCGTCTTTCAGGATAAAGAAATCAGTCTGCCAAAGTTTTCTAGCTCCTCAGACCAAAGGAGAAGTTATAGAAAGCATTCCAGATCCGCCCAAAATCCCCCCACCCCCACCGCCACTCCTGCCGCCTCCACCTCCATCCCCTCCTCTGTTGCCGCCGCCACCACCACCTCCTCCGTCTCCTCCCAAGGTTTCTCCTCCTTCTTCTTCTTCTTCTCCATCTCCTCTTAGCACCCAGCACCTCCCCCCTGCAAAGCATTCAAAATCCCCTGCCAAACAGCCAGCCGTACCACCACAGGCCACAGTGCCAGAGCTAGCTCCACGTAGGGAGCTCAAAGGTATTCTGAAAAACATTCAGAACTTAGCAGCCATTGAAAAGTCTGTGGCCAACATGTACAGTCAAATAGACAAAAACCACGTTCTGCCCAAGCACGTCTCTAAGCTTAAACCGGTCGCAGCGCCGGAACTGCCAACGGCAGATACTGTGGCTGAGCACGGCCAGCAGAACGGCAGCCTGAGCTGTGTTGTGGAGGAGCTCGAGAAACGGTTTCCGTCTCAGTCAACAGCCCTGTAGTACTTGCCGTTGGGCGTTTCCTGCACGTAACCTTTTGAGTGAGATGACTCTAATGCAGCACATGGTATCTGCCTCCGACATCCTAGAAATTCAGACCTTTTTTCCCCCCTCGCTGCTGTCTATCACTACTGATTCACTCCTGATACTAAAATTGAGACGTTATCTGTTCCCTCAGAAGCTTGTAACGTATAATCGTTTCACAGGCTGTGCTCTCGGTGCTGCATCTTACTGTGCGGTGATGCTGGTCCTTAGTCTGCTTATCAAAAATTGTTGGGGAAAAGCATCCAGCTTTTCAGCCAAGGCTCTGTCAGAGAAGACAGAGCGGTTGATAGCGCGTTATGTTAAGCAGCCTTCACTGTAGGTAGTATCAGTAAGCAGAGTGATTTTTTTCTGCAGCTGTAATGGGAATCTCTTGCTTTGCCCGTAAAACGTACCCCATGGGAGGAATCTTACTGTCAAATATTGGATATCAAAGCAAGCAAGTACTTACAGTAAGCAGGCTCAGCGATAGCGAGCCAGAGTTATTGCAGTAACGCGTCTTTTTATTCAGTGGGGGGTTACGCGGTATTCTGCTATACGCTGGCATGCTTGCTTTCAGCTCACGTTTGCTTCGATAAGTCAGATAAAGGTGTTTTTCTCTTGATTTATACGCCCTGCTGTCTTCCATCCTCTTACCTGTGTTATGCCTTCCGTTGCGTTTTTTACATCGTAACTGCATGTTAACCGTTTTTATTTTGTAAATGATTGAATGTATAAAAAAAAAAAAGTGTTTGTCTTTTTTATTTCGCATGTTCACGTTGTTGACATACCTCTTTAGCTTTCATGCTAGTTTGCCATGAGCTTTACAACTGAAACATCTTGCTTCTCTTAAAATGTAATAAAGTCACTCTGATTAGTGTCACCAGGTGGAGGTTTTTCAAGTGCTTGTAAAAATCCATGTACTATGGATTTACTTACTGGCTTTTTTGCTCACATTCGTCTAAATCAGACCTTTACTTTAAATATATCAGTTATGTTAAATTAGCTTGTCCTTGGAAACAAATGGTAAGTAAAAGGAGTTTTGGCATTTAAATGAATGTTAGTTTAGTTCATCCTGCAAGTTGCCTTTCTGTCTTTTGTCAAGTTCAAAACAGCCATGTTTAAAATAACACTTTAAAAAAAAAAATTGATACATATCTCTCTCTCTCTGTATGGGGAGAGGCAAATATTGCAGAATGGAAGAAGAAAAAAAAAAAACCTGAAAACCGGTTCAGTATCAGATGTTATGATTCTGAGCAAAAAGGTAATTATTTAGCAGACTGTCCAGAGATGCTCATTGTTTCCACAGTGCTTGGCTTTTTTTTTAATTTTTCTCTCTCTCTTTCTCCTCTCTCTTCTTTTCCCCCCCCCCCCGCCCCAAATCTGCAGTTAAGGCATGTATGGATGCTTCAGTCAGAAACTGCTGAAGGTGGTTTCTCCTTCTTTGTCCCAGAGCCAAATTCCATGAACTCCGTCGCGCAAATTCTGCTGATACGTTAGAAATGTTGTGGGCCTAATAAAGTCCCCCGCTCTTGCCAGGCTAAATGGTAGTTCCAAGCCATGCAGTGAATAGCAATAATAGCTAAATGTGTGAGGGCAATGATGATCAATCACTGCATTTTCGCTGTAGCAGAATCTATATATTTTACAAGATTCTAGTGTGAAGAATAGCTGCCAACGGCGCTAAATCCTGTGCGAGTGGCACAACTGCAGCACCGGCAGCAAACTGTCAAAGTTCAGCAGCCGGTAGGTAGAGAAACCTTTCAGATTTAAGAGCTGGAATCGGAAGTGGGCTTGGATGTGTACCTGTTTCTGCATGCAAGCAGCAGTCCAGGCGTGGAGACCAGGGGGGCAATCGCAAGGGTGCGTAGATGGTCATGGGAAGTCCCTGTGTTAAGCCTGTTCAGATCAGATCAACCCTTAGGAGGAGAGTTACGGATTCCAGTACCCACATCCTACTTTAGACCTTGCAGGCCCATAAAGGACGCTTTTGTGAAGTTCGTTATATCCGTAGAGAAGCATCAGGCAAATACGGCCTAATTTTGCAGCATACAGCGTCACGCAGTAGGGCTGCAGGTGTTCTGGACGTCACAGGAAAACCTGCAGCGGTTTGATTCAGCTACGGTTATTTGTGACCTGCCTTAAGCAGGGAAGCTTGGACGTCCCACGGGAGCTCCTTTTTTTAAATACTTAATTTCATCTGATCAGTCACCGAAGGATCTGCAGGGGTCATGGCGGTCAGCTCCGTGCTAACGAGGAACGCCTACTTGGTTTGCCAAAGCCTTACTAAGTGGGAAAGTTTATGAAATCGAGTTTAATTTTGTCTGGAATTAATGCAGCCTTTGTTCTCCTGCTGGATTTCATAGCCTTTATTAAAAAATCATTCTATTAGCCTGGGAGAGAAACTGTACCAAGAGCAGGTATTTTTAACCGAACCCAGGGACCCTGTATCACATCCAGAAGACTGAACGCAACTGCAGTTCTAGCAGTGCGAAGTATTATAACCAATCTACTTCTTGGTAAAAATACGCGTAACACACATATGCTTAGCAACTTCCTCTTGGGGTTGCCTGAATTGGCTCTTTAGGGTCAGGTGTAACCAGGCTCTATCTCCGGTTCTTCGATCATCAGCTTGGCTGCCTTGAGTTGCGGGCAGGAGCCACGCTCGCATCCCTGGGGGAGCCCTTTTCCACTTTGACCCAGCCTGTAGAGCCCAGCTGCGGAGTCACTTACCGTGGAGGGTCTCCTCTCCGGATTCCTTGTCTCCTCAGGTCCAGCCGGGAACTGCAGGAAACCTCCACTTTGAGAGCCAGAATAGACCGAAAAGCAGCTGCCTGTAGCAAGTAGCATCTCCAGCATTTGGGTTTTAAGGTTCTTTATATCTGTTTTCATACTAGAAGCCAGAATGCGATGTATCAGATGCCTACTGAGATGCCAGGAATTGGGATAACCGTTAACTTGAGGTAAATCCCAGTTCCTTTAGTTAGCGTTAGCAGTACAGCTCTGTGGCAGGTTGGCACAGGTTTTGTACATGTAAATTCACTCATGCTACCATTTTCACGTTCAGTACTAACAGTGCATAGCAGCTGTCATATTAACCTCTATCATCATGTGCACTAAGTCCTTGCTTTCCAATTTTGAGTGGAAGATTTCCCTCTGGTTGACTGCAGTAAAGTCTGGCTGATCATTTTTATCCAGTAGTAATTGCCTCTGTGGTGAAAAGTTTTTAAATTCCCTCCTGGAAATAAATCATGTTATTTTGGCCCTTTTTTTTTTTTTTTTTTTTTTTTTTTTTTTTAAAGAATAGATCCTTGTGCTGTGTTGAGTGAATAAATACTTTTTCTTTTGTTTTTTTTAATTCTTCTAATCGTGGCCACACAAAACTGGAAGATGAGAAGTAGGAGCATCTCTCAAAACGCAGCGTGGTGCTGTTTTGAAGAAGGTTGAATTCCAAGTTAAATTAGAATTACTTGTCTTAAATGCTTTAATCTACAGTGCAGTGTCTTCTCAAAAGCAATAAAGATTAATAGCCTTGCTTATCCTCGGTGCAACACAAGACCTTCTGTTGCTGAAGCTGTAGGCGACAGGGAAACTAAATACAGCATTGCTCAAGTGGGCTTTGAAAAGTCACAGATCGTCTTTTGATGATCAGTCTTCATTTCAGTTGTTCATTACTTCCATATTATGTGGGCAACCGCATTAATTTAATGGTGATAATCAATTCCACGTGCTGAATAGTAATAGAAAACTTTGCAGATGGTGATATTAAAGAAATGAAAAGAACTTCCACTCTGCTCTTTATTTCCTCGAGTGTAATTAAAGAATTTCCCTAGCCTGCTCTCTATGTGCGAGGCTAAGCTCAGCGCAATTTTGAGTACTTACCCTCTCCTTCTTGAAGGAAAAAAAAAAAAAAATCCCCAAGCTTCTCCTTAATTAACAACGCTAAGACCTAAATTGCCATTCACTAGTTTGGTGGCACTTATTAATTTCTTGGCACAAAACGTGAAAATAAAGAACTTGATAGGCATAAGCGCATTTGTCATGCGTATGAATGGCTCCGAGAAAATGAATTAAGACAACAACAAAAAACTTGCAGTGAGATCCGAAGCACACAGCCTGTGGCAAAATCATCGTGAATAGCAAAAGTAACGTAACCCCCCTCCCCGTTGAGCAAATGTTAGGAACTGTGTAATTTTCATGATAGTAATGTTAGAAAAAAATTAGTAATAGGTGCTCCAGGCCAGTTTCTCTCAAGACCTGCTTGGATTCAGAAAGTCCAGGAGTAGCAGAGAAACTATTTCCCTGCTTAAGGAGACGTGTGGAGTAACCGAGTCTCTTTGTAGGTGCCCTCTCTGAGCCACAGAGAAGATTGCGTGGCAGGACACCTGCCGCGGGAGCGGAAGGAGGACCGTGCACAGCAATTACACCCTCCCTCCCTGCTGTGTCGGGCTGGGTGCACTGGCTCTCTGGCTTTTGGGGACGGGGGATTTCTTTTCATCCATTTGCAATTTGAAGCAAGAAAAGATCCCAGAGTTTCACTAGTCTCTCTCATGCAATAATGTTGTATGTCCAGAGCAAAACTAAAGAAAAACATATTTTGTATTGTCGATATGTATTTCTTTTCTTGCTAGAATTATCTCTAATCCCATTATCTTTTCACCTCTGTCCAGAAAGAATGGCAATATGCATCTTTATGTAGTCTAACAGAAGTATACTAATCCTATCTTTTTCTTTTTCCGACTTCTAGGCGCGGATACGCACAGCAAGAGGTAAGGCTGCCCTCCACCTTAGGCTGACGAACTTTTCCAGGCAACCCATGGCTAAATTGAGGAACTCATTGCTAGGGGATGTTTTAGAGGCCAGAAATAATGAATGGTTTCAAAACGCGTAGATGCGTTCCTGTGCTGCAGATTCACTGGTGGCTAGTAAACATAATGGTGCAAGCGCAACATCTAGGTTAGGAGGTTGCTGCTTTACAAACTGCCAGAAATAATTTCCGGGGGAATTTCTTCCGTGTTTGATGTTTTCTTCTGTGGAGATGATTCTACGGAGATCTCTTAGGTCAGATACCAAACTTGCCTGTATTACCGTGGGGGCCTGCCTATGGCCAAGGATCGTGGCGTGAATTGTGCCGCCAGGTTTTTGGAGGAGCGTGCAGGAACAATGCAATACCGACGATAGACACTGGTCCTGATTTACAGCGTAGCGGGTGACGTGCATCGATGTAAGTCATTTGCAAAAAGCTTGCGGTGCACAGCAACAGCATGACTCCCCAAACCGAACGGTGTTCAGCTGTGGTGCACCTAGGAACAGCCCTGCAGAGCTGTCAGCCCTACCTGTGCAGCCGTCAGTTGCTTATTCTTTAGTCAGTCCTGTTTTCCTACGATGTGCTGCCTTGGGAGAGAAATTGCAGATTAGATTTAAAAAAA